ACCTAACTCTTATAATAATTAATGACGGGGGTAGACGATAGATCCGCTTGAGCCGCGCCGCATAACAATTTATGCGTTTAGGGGCTGGAGTACGCGTGTTTACAGATTAATGAATTGTTGCATTGTAAATATTTAAAGTTGACGATATATTATGATTTAATAGTAAATTTTTCAAAGCTGGCTTTGGACTTAGGTAAATTATAACTTATTTATTTTAAAGAAAAAACCACGGATAGTTTTAAATTTACATAGTCGTATAACTATAATCAAGTTAATCCTGTTTTCAAGAATGCGCGGCTTTGGCGGCCAGTTATTGACTTGTACATAAAATTGAATTTTAAATAGAAATGTGAATGTATTAAAATTTAAAACTTTCAAAACGGAGGCTTATAAATATTATTATATTATGATTGTAAAATAAAGGATAAAATTTTAAATTTGTTTCACTAAAATTTGTTTCACTAATGTGACAAAGTAAACATGTCTTGACCCAATTTTGAAGATCTATACCTCTATTAGAATACTATGTAAGTTTATCATCAACAAAATTTCGATAAACTAGTTATTTTGCCAGCAAGGAGCTAACAGAGTTATAATAATTTTGTTGTGACGAAATTACCCTATTTTTGACCATGTTGCGGTAGTTTAATTGTGACACTGTTAACATATTACCACCTGATAATGATTTATGTGACTGGTGCATGGTACTAGCAGTGTTGTTTGATCCATAGTACGCAATATAAGGGGTTTAAGCTGGTATATCATTATTTGTTCAATTTCACACATGTTCAGATATCATCAAGATTATGTGACAAAGTAAACTTAGTTGTGCCTTCTGTGTTTTAATTCCTTACGACTATATGATATAATAACAATTCCCAGCACTTCCAGGCCATCAAATAAACCTACATTACTCAGCATTGCTTATCAAGGCGCCCTAAACATTCATCGCATATTTTCTTTAATGTGTGACAGAGTAAACCTGAGTGCACCATCTAACGAAAAAATTCGTCAAATATGTAGGTAATGGTCATATGTACCCATCCAATCAACTGGACACCCACAAATTTGGTCATAAACGGCGGCAAGGGGTCCATATTTACTCCGTCACATGTTTATAGTGTGACAATGTAACCATTTCCGTGCCGGCCGTATTTAAGCGATATCTTATCGCCTGATTAAGATATCGTTATGTGACAAAGTTAGCCTAGAGGATGAGACGATTATCCTAACCATCAAGGGTTTATGTAATTTCATAGTGTGACAAAGTCAACTACACTGTGCCTTTTGATAGGGTCACTTATATTTACCAATATCCTCAAACTCAAATGAACGTGTCCATATAGTAAATAAGGCCAAGGGACTGCCAGTAGATTTTCCGATATAAGTTGGGTTCAAAAAAGGGATTGGAAAAATTTTCGGGAATTTTTTTGAGGGATGTCGAATTCTAGCAGTGATGAATGTCAAGTTGGGTGTGCAGTTATGTCAGTAATAAAGAAAAACATAACGGTTATCTTTGATTTTTGGAGGACTTCGCCGCTTCGATAAACTGTCTTTGCGCTGGATAAAATATCATCCCTCGATGCCTGTTAATGCTTATGATTGGAATATGCAAAAGTGAAGTTGCGTGATGGTAATAGACCTAATACAACATTATATTTAACATATTTGAATAAGTTGTTATTACAAGATATATTTGCGCGCGTAAATAAATTGCGCGCGAAAAAGTTAAAATTTTTACCACTTTTATGGATTTTTACCCGCGTTAAAACAGAAGGATTCAAAAAAATTTTATACCATCTTGTGCGGCAGTGTTTTAGCTATCTTTATGCAAGTTTTATCGACATGCCAACATAATTAACTTGTTCAAAATATCAAAAAACATGGTTTTTAAGGCCTATTTTTGCCCAATAATCGGTTTTTTGCGATTTTACCCGCGTAAACTTTGTATCACGTGGTGACCCCCACTGTCGCTTCACTATAGTGCGCGGCGGGTCATACAACGTATGACAACTTAAACTCAGTCTAATCATCTCGAAACCACTTTTAATCGATACTACGATCAAAAATACGTTTAGCAAAATGTATTAAGGGTTGACGGATGTTACTCGTCTAAATTTCTTCGAAGTAGCGCGCGCCGCTTTCTTCTCGAAACTGGCCCAAAGGCAAGTGCTACGAAGTAGCGCGCGCCGGGCCAGATCATTAACAATGGTCAATATTTGGGGCCTTAGCGTATCGAACAGACAATCCCCGTAAGAGCCTTTACTAATGTTTTTCTCACTCCAGCTGCAGTCTGGTAGTTGTAAGTTTACAACCTACCAGGACGCGCGCCGAGTTGGACTCGTCGACGGAACAAATATTGTACGAGTATCAACCGTTAAGTAGATCGTTGAGATGCACCACTGTGCCTCACCGAGCTGTAAAGGATTGGCATCGTGAATCATGAATGGAAATTTAAAGTAGAAACAAATTCTTAGCTTGCTATTAAAACATGTGCTCCTTCATAAATATTATCATTATCGTGATCAAACCCCTTATTTAAGGGCCTGCCAGTCTCTTTTGAAGTACGAATGAACATAATTTCTACCGTACGAGAATTGTTCAGAATTTTCTCTAAATACCTATTTTTGAATTTTTTAAATCGGTGGTCCGGTTGTAGTGCGATGCGTTACTGTGCCGCGCCGCGCACTCAATGAGTCGAGATGCGTTACTGTGCCGCGCCGAGCTGAGATGAATTGACATCGTCAATTAAGTGGTCCGGAAGCGGAGTTATGGTTCAATCAAAATTGTTAGTTTAACACTGTTGCTTAGTTTAACACTAGCTGCCGAGAAAGGGGCAAGTGCTTGGTTAACAGCACTACTTTTAAAAGAGTATGGATATCTGATTAGATGAATAAACAACATTTCTCGGACGCAATAGCTCTCAGATACAACATGAACTTAAAGGACTGCCCTAAGGCATGTACGTGTGGCCAGAAGTACTCAGCAAACCATGCGCTCATCTGCAAACTCGGTGGATATAATAATACATATATACAATATATATAATATGTGTCACTGCGACACAACTCGCTGAGAGCACTAGAGCAGTGGCGTAACGAAAGGCCCTGCTGACCCCGCTGTGCAGGGGGAGGCGCCGTCTTAGGGGGGCGCCAAATCGTCGTTTGAATATGGGACAATTTCGAAAACTTAACTAAAGTACTAGCAAAACTGCGCGTTTTGCTCTAGATACACACTTTTTTAGAGATCTTACCGGCGTATTCTTTAAAATCACCTAATTTGTTCAATTTTAGGGAGGGACACCAAAAGGGGAGGGGGCGCCAACAGGGGGGCGCTTTTTTCGGCAGGGGGGCGCCAACAGGCAACGTTACGCCACTGGCTGAGAGACACCTTTGCAGAACTAATGAGAACTGTGAAATGCAAGGATGTGCAGACTGAGCCGGTTCTTCTTCCAGTTGATGGTCTAGAGTTACCAAAGGGAACAGTCCTAGGAGATCAAGCTAGGCTGGACATTTCTGCAAGATCGATTTGGAATGCTTCAGAGAGGGCATTTTTTGATGTAAGGGTATTTCATGCCCCAGCCCCCTCCAATGCAAGCAAATCGATCCCAGCGATGTACCAGTCCCATGAAAATGAGAAAAAGCGATGTTACAACGCAAGGGTTCTTGAAGTGGAGAAAGGAAGCTTCAAACCTTTAGTTTTCTCGACTTCTGGTGGAATGGGTGGTGAAGCTGAAAGACTGGTTAAGAAGCTGGCCAGTAAGATGGAGTACCACGCTGGCCAGAGGTACTCGGATGCTGTAGGATACATTAGAAAGCGCCTTCGATTTGAAATACTAAGAACAACAGTGATTTCTCTCCGTGGAGACAGAGGTGCAAAAAAAAACATTGTTGATATAAACAGTCTAGATCTTAACTTGGAGCCACAAGGCCAAGGGTAATTTTTGATTTTTTAGGAAACTTTTTAAATTCTACATCGATAGAATAATACTGAATATTATAGGTACTGATCATGATTGGTAGTACTCTCGAGAAATTATGTAGTGTTGTTAGTGTACGTGTTGTTAGTTAATTTAACCCACACTGATTTTCCCTAAGAAGACACTCCATTCCAACATCCAGCTTCTTAAGAAGAACCATTTGAAACCAACCATTAGATGCTTAATCTAAGACTAACATACATGTGGATCGAGGAATAGACAACTTTTGTCTTCTTACATCATTCACCTATATAATGACTGATATGCTGAATTTGGGCACTCGGGACATGATTAAATGTAAACAGTACAGAGTTTAGGCCTTCTTTTAACTGATTTATGGTGTCTTGAATCTAAAAGTCAATGAGGTGACTGAAAAAGAGAACTGAAATTTCGATACTTATTTGATCAAATAAAAATAAACAAATTTCTAGCTGATATATGTGTGACTTTTTGCTGATAGCTGGCACACAGACATGTAGGAATTAGTTTAAAGACACAGCCAAACATTATCTTGTCAATTAAAAAACACATTAAAAACACGCCTTGATCTTTTTAATATTTTGACAAGAACCATTAATAGAGCAGATATCAAAATGAATATTTGCTGAATTCTGTCACCTACTGGAATTGCTAATGATGACTAAAATGCTGAAAACAGTTACTCACTTCTATCGATAATCAGTGTAATGGGAACGATTTTTGAGCAAAATGTAACGAAATTGATGAGATTAGTCATTTGGAGGTTAAAATGGTTCATATTCTGCTTGAGCCTGGAACTTCGTTTTTTCAAGTTACAACTGCTGAATATTTTCACTTCATCTTATGTACATTGTTCAAATGTGTGGTTGCACTTTAAAAAGTATTTTGACTTTTTCCTCATTTTGTGCACTCTACTTTGAAAAAGGTAAAATCTGCAAAACAGTGTCACTTTAAAAAAACGTGTCCTTTGACCACCGACAAACTTTCACCCTGCGACCACGGGTTTTCTAGTGTAATATAATTTCAACATCATTATAGCTAGGATAAAAGTCATGGACTCAGATAATTGTGAGAGCTTGGATGATCATAGTGATTCTGAGGATCATAGTGATTCTGAGGATAGTGATTCTGACGATCATAGTGATTCTGAGGGAGAGATGAACGTTGATGTACAAGAGGATGAGATTGAGTATACTTTTGGCTTCTTTGAGAAACTTTTGGGTGTGCTTTCTCTTACTGTGAGGGACAACTTGTCGCATACTGCTGTTGACAAGCTGCTTCATTCGACGGAATTGTATAAAGGTGTAAATTTGGAATACAAAGAGCTTGAATCAGTATACCAGATGCGGAGATACATTGATAGAAACATGCTACGTCCTAATGTTTATTATCTTTGTCCTTCCTCAAACTGCCTTGGGTCATACCTGGAAGAAAGTGTTCCAAACAGTTGCACCCAAGAGGATTGCAATGAACTGTTGGTAATAGAAGAGCTTAGAAAGAAGGGACAGTACTTTCTTTACACACCTTTGGCAACCCAAATCAAACAGATTCTTGAGATTGTAGAAATGGAGAAAGTTATGAGCGACTATCTGGATGGAGCTGTGCTTCAAGGAATGCAATCTTATCCTAACAGCCTGAGAAACATCTTCTCATCAAAAAGGTCAGTTCCAAAATAAAGGCAAGACTAGGTGGTAAGGTGGTAGGAGGTCAACCTTGAATCGTCATTCTCGACTACAAATATACAATAATGATTTTTTGACAATAGTTCTATTATTTCTAGTGATCATCAGTTACCTCTTCTGCTAAGTTTTGTTTTTCACTATGTCTAGCACCCTGGCCCTAGGGTGACCAAGAGTCAGGTGAAAGTTTGGTATTAAGTTGATTTGTTCCAAAATTTCATTAAGCTGACTGAGGAATTAATTATTAATTATCCGAATTAATTACAGCATCTGTCTTAAGGCTTATATAGTGGTACTGAGTCAAAATCATGTGCTCAACAACTGGTTTGCGATATTGTGTAGGAAAGAATTAGATCTAATGACTTTTATGTAGATGTGTATTTTATTTATCTTTTAGATTACGCACGCACGGCGCACGCACTCATTCAAAGTGTTGGCAGGGCGTATATAAAATTTAAGTTTTTCTCTGCTATTTAAAGCAATTTCTTGGCTAAAAATAGAAAAGCTGATTTACCGCATACCCCGATTTATGATGCTACTTTCCTTTTCCAAAAAGTGTGGTAAATTTGGGTTTTCCAGTAAGAAACCAAAACATTTTACACATGTGTCATTCGTAAAAATCTTTTAACCCAGTTATATACTGCATTGTCTATCTTGTGGTTTTATAACCCAAATCTTCATTCCAGGTACCAGGAACTGAAATTGTTGGATGGTAGAGAGAAGTTTGACCCAAGATACAACCTCCTTACTTTAAGTCTCAACTTAGATGGTGTTGAAACCGCAAAATCTGCCAGTAACTCGCTTTACCCAGTGCAGGTATTATTATTGAATAATTATTGTTTCAAAACTGATATTCCTTGAACATACTCTTCAACAGAGGGTTCCAGGTGATGCAGGTTTGAATCATCAGTGATTACCCTCCGCCGTGTTCAAGGTCCCGGAAGTGCTTCTGGACAGCTTGACATGGATGGAAGTTGCAGTTTCTAATTTCCCATCGAGGCAAACTCTTCAGAAACGAGTTCATTACAGCTTTTTCAAAATGAACTATAATAGTACCAGTGTCTTCCGGACAGTGCTGGATCTGGGCCGCAAGGAACTGTCCAGTGTCCAATTATGTGTCGGAAGAACGGGATTTCAATTATTTTTGCGGATATGTTGGATATAATTTATAAATGCTAGGCCCGGCCTGGAGAGCAGTGCTCTACTTTTCCATGACAGAGTAGTTTGTGGGAGCTCATGCGACAGGAAAGGAGTTGTAATTCTGACATTTTAGTCAGTTTCAAGTATGTAGACACTGCACTATAACTTAATAACTATTGAGTAGTGATGCCTCACTACCGGAACCACAGACACGAGCCGGGAAACTTTCCTGAAAAATAGCAAGGGTTCTCACCTGTACCCTACAAGCTCTTGCACATTGCTATCAGTCGTAGTTCGTACCATAGTGCAAAATTTCGACTTTCCTCATTAAATCATAAACTTTATTAGGTCTAAGTAATGTACACTTTGTAGCCGATTTCGTCTGTATCATTAGGATTTGAGTTGCTCAGGCTTTTTTATAATCAGAAATTTTATGTTAAAATTTGTACCTAACTTAGGTTAATTTGTCAGTAATTCAAGGAAGCAAATGAGTGATATGAAAATTAGCCCGTAAAATTTGCTTCAAAGCTTGTTAGTACTTTGCATTAGTAATATTACATAAATTTAAAATCTTACATTAATCTCATGGTCAAATTTTTCAAGAATATCTACTATATTCTAAAACTAGTTGATAAAACTTTTGGTGAAGAACTAAATTCCAGAAGGGAAGCCATCGAAATCGTCAAGTTTATTGATAGTCACGCCATTGCTCATGCTAGTGCCACCATACCAACCGTCAATATAATACTGCGATGCTCTATTAATGTTTTATAGTTATTCAAGTTCCTAGCAATACAAACTTAAAGATTAAAAAAGATTATAACTTAATGATAGAGGATCACGTAGTCACAATGCCCGTAGTATTGAGGCCTGACTGTATGTAAGTGTGTAGTGTTGCCTGTTGCCAGGCCCCTCTTTGGTACGGTTCAGTACTTCGATGCAATTGTTAAAATTAAAAAAGGGGGGTAAGCTGGTAAACTGGTACTATTTTTGAAGGAAAAGGGGGTGGGTGTGGGGGTCTAGGCTGGTCTCCAGGGCAACTTTCGAAAAGTACCATGATACTTTTTTGTAATTTTGTTTCATCAAAAAAGTACCTGCACCCCCCCCCCCCCCCCCCCCCCCTCCGGTTATTGCACTCGGTTTCGTCTAAAGCGGTTATTTTGTGATCGTAATTTGTACATGTTATGCCTCGTGCAATTACTTGACAATTGTGCGTATAATTGTTATCACTCATGCAATGAGGCAGATAGATTCACATAGATTGATACTTATCAATCACAGGTGATCATCAATGAAATGCCGGAGTATGTGAGGCGTAAATTGATCCTCTGCCCTGAGCTGTTTTTGAAAAACAAATCAAACGACATCGACTTCAACCATCTTGTTTTGAAACCGTTGGTACTGGAGTTGCGCAAATTGAACGAGGAAGGAGTGGAGTGGTACTCCAGTTTATTGAAGCGCAGTGTTAGGACTCGTGTGCTGGCGTTTTCAATGAATGCAGACTCAGTGATGAAGCCTGAGCTTATCTGCATTCCAGGTAAGATGCTCCCATATCAGAGGGTTTGTAGCCTGTGCAGTTTCTCCTTATTCCCGTCAATCCTAATTTTTTTGGTCATTACTTAGATTGAGTCCCACTTTTTTTTCTTGGAAGTTAGTCGGACAGTCTGTATTATTTGTTTCGGCTTCCTACCTACCGACATGCAATATAATGCATTATTTGTAACGTTTATCCAACCCGACAGAGGTTTCATTAATATTTCAGTTCATTTTAATTTTCCCCTAAATTCGATCTAGAAAATTCCGCCAATTGGCTTTTATTATGATAAAACGGGATACAGATTTTAACGTGGCACAATCGGCGTATCGTAGACACTAGACAGACTACTAAAAAGGCGTGTGTCAATAGAAGTTATTTCCTATCGTAGTATAGTATTCATTATAGCTTTTTGGATCTTTTGCTCTTTTGTAACATAGAGATTTCAGAGGTTCTTATCACTCCACATTGCAATGTAATGCTCTGATTAATCATTCCTTCAGTTTCCAAAGATCTGGTTAAATTCAACCCCTTAGGTCACGCTGGAAAATACAGTTGTCCGGTATGTACTAAACAAGGAAAGTCTACCACGATGGGGAAAGGGAGTACAACAGGTAGATATGATGTTATTATGTAATATGTATATATATATAGTATATATACAGGCTATTCAATCGATTAAAGGACCAGTTAACTGAAAAAAAAGTTATCCTCATATTTTGACAGATTGTGACAAATAGCAAACTAAGCAACGAGTCGAAATTCCTAAATCTCTAACTGCTCTCTAACGCGTGTAATTAGCGTTTGTATTATTTTGGCGATGACGTCATAAAGTCCCTTGCGCGCACTGAGTAGCTCGTGAGACTGTATTTTACAGGTAGAAAATGGACATAATACAATGTTTCTCCCCCAAATAACTCGAAAAGTAAGTATTTTAGGGTACATGTTGCTTCATAAGTTGTATATAAACATGGCCATTCTGCACAATTTGCACTCATTCAAAAATCTGTAGGGCCTTCATAGCCCAATTTACGAGATGCCCATATTTTAGCAAGATTTCTGGAACCGAAAATCAGTTTTTCGCCAATAACTGAAAAAGTAAGCACTTTAAGGCATATGTTTGTTCGTAAGTCATATATTAATATGCTAATTGCGGTTCTTTTGCACCCTGTCTAAAGACTCTATCACGATCCTATCAAAAATGGGCTCAGCACCACGCCCAAAATGGTTTTTGGCAAATTTCTCGAAAAGTAAGGATTTTAGGCCATGTGTTGCTCAGTAACTCCTATATAAACATGCATATGCCGCTTGGTTTAAGCCTATTTAGAAGTCTCTACGACCTTCAGAAGCAAGGGGTCGGTTACGTTGTTGGGTCAATATGGGCGTGGCCCTCCTGGGTTTTCTCCACGGTCAAAAAATGTCTCCAAACGAAAATCGTTTATTCATACCTTCAGGAAGGTCTGTGCAAAGTTTCGTGAGTATTTGAACATTTGCAGGTTCATTTCCATAAATGTCCATAAATGACTGGACTACACAACTTTAGAGTTAACTTTAGAGAAACTCTTAAGTCATTTATCTCAAATTAAGCTGTTAGTGTCCATGATCAACCTGTGGCGACAATGTTTAACGTGAAATGTAAAAATCAGGAGTAATATAAAAAGTGTATTTTTAGATTAAAGTGCTAGCTCATAGTTTTAGAATTGTATAGATTAACGTTGGTCGTTTAGCCATCTAACAATCGATCGTGCCGTAATATATGGCCAGAGAATAATAGGGTCTTGGAAATTCTATAGTTGTTCAGTGGGTTGATTGACTGAACACGTTTGCACTTGGTATTTAAACTTACCAGTAGTTTATTTATGTTATGTACCGATGATAATGCAATTAGGATAACAACTAGGTAAGCCGTAAGTCTAATTCAAAACACACCGCACACCGTACACACCAATCAGTATTACTATTTGGTAGACCGGGTATTTTGGCGGGAATTCTGTTCCCACGGCACTGTTCTGATAGAAGCTACTTCTACTAATAATCCCAGAGGAACGGCCGTAAAGTAGCCAGACTTCTTGTCTCCTGTACTGGCTGACACATGTGGATTAAAGTTAGAAATTCCGCTATGATATAAATATAATTGCTCTCGGAATTGAACAAACTCCTACTTATCTAGATCCTTTCTAAACTCGTTAGAGTTTCATGGACTGGGGAAAAAAATCGGTACAGTCTCCCTGCTTGTGTAATTAAGCAATGAAAACAATCCAAAATTATCACATTATATGACATAAGTTGTAATAGCAGAAACTTTCTAACCGTACATTCACCCGCCACTGTTCAAGAAATTATGTCACTGTTTAAAATCATGACGTGAGCACTGTACATACAATCAGCTATTCCTTTAGTTAGGATGATAGCCAAAACTATAAGGATTTTGGAGAACTAGGGTAATAGTCATAATTCTAAAATTTGAGTGAGTTACACTTGTTTTATTGACGATGATAAACATTTGCAATGTATTACGCTATGCAAGCGCGCACTGAGGGACTTTATGACGTCACGACGCCACAGCTTATTATTGCAATAACACGCGTTACACGTACGCTAGAGAATTGGTTCTTTCGGCGATACGATTCTTTACCAGTTTGTCACAGCTGATTTAAATCTTAGCCAAATTGGAGACTACAAATTTTTCAGTTAACTGGTCCTTTAAGTCGGTAAACTGGGCTTTTAGGTACAACACCGACAGGCTATAAGCCGGCTTATGACCGGCTATAAGCCACTGTAATGTCTAGCTAAGCGACGGCTATAAGCCGGCTTATAACCATTTTGGGGGCAAAAGTGCTTATAGCCGGCTATAAGATACTGAGGCATTTTGAACGACTTTAAGCTCGATTATAATATCCTAACGGTGTTGTACCAATTCGGTAGTGTGGCAAAGCACGGTCAACGCACGGTTAAGGCACGGTTAAAGCACAGTTAAGGCACGGTTAAGGCACAAGGGTTACATAAGGCACGGTTCTTAAGGCACGGTTAACGCACGTTAGCTGTACATATGCTGTTTGGGGCTGGCAAGCCCCTTAGCATAGATTCAACGTAGGTTTTACTTCGTTAATATGTTCAAGATATGTCTTTATTATCAGTGTTGTGACAGTGCTGCCAAAAATCAGTTTCAAAAATAGTTTATAGCATTTTCTCAAAATATCACACCATGTTTAAAAGTAAGACTCAACGTTGACTCATGATTGACCGAGGTAACTGTGCAAACGTTTTGTCTTGTTTCTCGGCCTGTGTTGGCCCAATTCGGATACTTCTGCCTAATATGAGTTGCCTATCATACTCATTCGAGGAATCAGTGAAATGGAACAAATTCTTAGCTCATTTTTGAATGAACATCGTTCATTTTGGGTATTTTGGCTTTTTGGGTATTTTAGTGCTCAAATCGAAATGTCATGGTGTGCAATGTGCATTGTCTTTTGAAGCTTAACTTACACCAAAACTGAAAAAATGGGACATCTAGATTCTCAGATATCCGAGATATAGAGATATAGGACATAAAGTAATAATTCGTTACAGTGAGATCACCTGTTTAGGTGGCAAGCGAAACGCAGCATGGGAACCTTATTAACTGCGTAATTACGCAATCTTGTCATGTTATGGTGTCTTATCAAGCAGCAACCTTATCAATTTTGCTCACGAGCTTCACAAAACACTCCGTTGTTTCAACTTCGTTTTGCAATCAATATTTTCAGTTTTGCAATCAAAATTTTCAGTTTTGCAATCAATATTTTCGCACAGTTTTGCAATCAATATTTTCGCTTGTGAGTTGATATCAGTTGTCTCTTATCAGTAAATAGGTAATTGCACTGCCTTTTACTGTGCAGCTTTGCTATACACGAAGTATACACAATATGGAATTTTCGGTCAGTACTCTTCACGAAATGGAGAAACAGATTGAGGACTTATCAGACTCGGTTTTAGCGAAACTTAATTGCAGGAAACTAGAGGACCTCACTCATGACTTGTTCAAGCCAAAAGGCGTGACAAAGGATGTAATAACCGAAATAGTTTTGAAGATGGGGTCTATAATATGTAAATCGAGAACTGTTTTGAGATCAGCAGCAGAGACGCTTGACCAACAGAAATCAGAACAGATAAAAACTCAGAACGAGCTCATCCAATGCAAATCTGGTAAACTAGCTTCAGTGAAGGAGACAGTGAAAACAGAAATGAAACTGTTTACAGATGTTGTGAAGAATAACAGCGTAGCTAATGATATCTCTCCAGCTAAAATCAAAATGGCTGTGAAATCGGCGATTACAGAAGATGATCGGTCGAAAAACTTTATCATCTTCGGGGCCCCAGAACAGCTCGAATGTGAAGAGCAAGAAATGAACGAACGGGATCTCGTGGGTGATATTTGGGGTTTTATGAAGTTCATTGGAAGGCCGACCATAACAAACATTGAGAGAGTGGGAGTAAAGAAGTCTGACAGCCCGGGGATGATGCAACGTCAATTAATGTCAGTATTCCATAAAAACCCCAAACTGACATTGACATTAATTGACATTAATTGACATTAATTGACATTAATTGACATTAATTTGTCTAGAAATTTGAGATTATCATTATTCGATAAATATTCAAGATATTCACGTCTATGTAAGTTAGACCGGTTCAAAAAAACAAAATGTCCTTGAATAATTATGAGTATGTTCTTATCTGTTGATCCTTAGGTTCAAAGACCACCAAAAAAATTTCAGCTTCCAACTCTTCCATCTTCGGTCCCCACCGGCCACGCCCATATTTTATTGGTTTCTTATACAGGTAAAATATCTAGAATCGGCTTTTTTAGTATGAAGGAGTAATGTTAGCTGTTTAAGATTCGTTATTCAAAATAAATGTCATGAAGGCATTTCGTTTAATGTGGGTTTTAAGTTCTGATGATGTTGAGAACCACGCCCTTGGATGGCCACGCCCATTTAAGAAAATTAAATTTCGGAAAACCGTATTATTTTAGTTTTATTGTTTAATGATCTGAATTTTTTCACATTTCACATTTCCATATGTGATAGTAGTGAATAAATTGATGATATAAACGTTCTAAAGTGCTAAAAATATGGTAGAACTACATAATCTCTGATCGAAAAATATCGTGTCAATTAATGTCAGTATTCCAAAATTTTGCAAAACTGACATTGACATTAATTGACATTAATTGACATTAATTGACATTAATTGACATTAATTGACGTTGCATCACCCCCGACAGCCCTCGATCACGGCCGATAAAAGTTACTTTGCGAGATCCTGAAATTGTACGTGAATTTCTGAGCAGAGCAAAAGTCTTGAAATCGGTTGATGTGGCAGACTACAATTTCAACTACAACAAACTCTACTTATCTCCAGACAGGTCGCAGGATGAGCGAATCTCTCGCCAAAAGCTCGTACAGGAAATGAAAGAGCGAATCAAGAAGGACCCGAGCAAGAAATATTACATAAAAAACAACAAAGTTTGTGTCGCTGAGTGACTAATTATTTGATAAAGTCAAGCATTTGTGTATGTGTGTGACGTTAATTTCATGGAGTTAAAACTTTTTGTATAACTGAGAACAGAGGTTAGAGGAACTACTGATAAGAGTATGATTAGACTGTGTTGCGTTATCAGTTGACTTTTTGCATCACTCTTCTAGATTATACGTAATAGGGTAACTTAGTTATAGAGTAGGATTTTAGTTGTTGCAAGCATTGCACTAAGGTTTTAAGTTAGGTAAGTAGGCCACGAACTGTTGAGCAAACTGGGCTGAAAGCCCAAGCAATATGCAGTTCTGGTCTTGAGGCTATTTTACAATGTTTTATAACATGTGCTTGCAACTAGATCTTGAATGTCGCGTGCCCCACGGGGATTTGATTTATTCATACAATTTATTATATATTGGTTCCAAAGCCCTTATGGGTACCAGCAAAAAACTGGTTTTCAAACAAACAAGCATAATTTTTTCAGGATCGGTTAAAAGGATCATGCAGTTGCGACAATTTTAACGTGTTCATGAAAGAGCAAACATCAAAACAAGGTCGATAGGGTGTGGCCCTGAATAATCCCATATCCAAAAACCCGCATTCTCGCATTCTAAGAATGTAGGAAATTTTTAAAAGTAGGAAATTTTTGACAAAAAGTAGGAAATTCGAGAGCCAACTCTGAGAATTTTCGATAATATTTCAGTAGGAATTTAAGTGAAAGAGCAGACTAAAAGTTGCTGGACCGTTATTTAAATGTCCTCAGTCAGGGATCCACTGATCCAGTCTATCAAATTTCGTTTCACAGACCAAAGTTTGTTGCTATTAGCTACAAAATCTGTGCATCAAGTAACCACTAACCAGATGCTAATTATTGGGGCATTTTCGCGTACACGACATAAATAGTTGTCATTATTACTTTATTAACATTTTACTATCTACTTATCTAGTCTATGAAACCGGATATGTCTACAGTGTCACCCGATATCTGTATTGGCAAGCAGTAGCATATACACATCACGTCTTCACTCTTCAATGTGTGTATCACACTGCACACACCCAGCCCAAATTCGTGTGGCGTGAGAAAATATCAGAAAAACAGGGCGTTTTAACTAATCTGTACGATGATGCTAGAATGGGCGTGAGAATTGGACTTTTTCTAGTTTTTTAATTAGTCGCTCTGCCCGCTTGCTTTTGTTGCTTACATTGGGTTGTTGAACTTCCTATTAATCATGAATCGTCCAAAGTTTAAGTCTAAATCCGAGGTCCAATGCGGTATATGCAAAGAAGTTTGTACTCGAGCCGATAATCTAAAAGTTCATTTTAAGAGGTGTCACCCAGGGCATCAGCCCTATGAATTCATACCGAATCAACCGTTCTCCATTGTCAGATTCGTTCCAGGAGGCCAAATCTAGTTTAAATTTCCAAAATTTTCGGGGGCTTCGCCCCCAAAAGTAACCTAGGATTATCTATTAAAAAGCATTCCGGGCCCTAAAATAGTAAAATTGAGAATCTGGAATCCGCCATGAAAAATCTTTGAACCGCGCGAATACAAAGACTTTTTATGCGAGCGAAGCGATTGGGCCACAGAAAACGAAAAAATTGAGAATGTAGGAAATTAAAAATTTTTTGGATATGGGCCTGAATTACGGATTTTCACAATTTAGGCGATTAATCCTCAAATGAGTAGTTTCAGTATGTCGTATGCAAAGTTCCGAGCCTCTGACATGAAAAATGAATCTGAAATAGTGCAATAAACCCAAGCGTTTGCACAGTTACTTTTGGACCCACATGATGTACCATTCTTAATTTAGATGATACAGTGTTCTGTATTTCCTCATTTTGTTTGGGGATCCATTATTATCATCTCGAGAACCAAAAGGTCTCAGTCATTGTGATACATGTCAACAATGTTGCGAAATACCGTGTCACATTGCCACGTTCATTACCCTATTAGTATTAGGCACTGGCGATTTGGTTTCTTTTGCTACTTGGTTTATTGGATCAATCAATTTTGCCTCTGATCACGTGGCGAATCACGAACTCCAAGTTCATGTTTAGCCTGGCGCCTGCTTTTGTATACAGCAAGTGGTCGTCAAATTGAGGGTTGCTGTCTCAGCAACACAAAAATTTATGTGTCTGAGTGTAGTCTGTGAGTGCCGCACCGAAAAAAAGTTACATGTTTAAATTCAATTTTTTGATGTCTAAATTCAATGTTAAAATCATTTTCGTTCATTAATTCATTAATTCATCATAATTTTTACCCAAAATCTACTTTTACTTTTTTTTTCAGTTCAAGTACCGGAAGTTGATAGTCACGACAATCTAGTCACTTATCCACTACGAGCTGTGTCGAGTATAGAGGTGGGTGAATATGGATACGAGGGATACCCCCTGCTTACTGCTGTGCCGGAGTTTCCTGTTTTCAAGTGTCATAGCATCGATTATATGAATTGTATTACACTGGGGGTGTTTGCAAAGATCTTTAGACTGATTATGAAAACAGTCGGAGGTGCTGGAGAATTGCGGGTAGCCCAAGCAACTGTCAACATCAAAGGATACACCGGGATAGAACATGGTCCCCGATGTACATCGGACTTCGCTCACTACAAAAGTAGTGAGTGGAGAGATTGGGGACTACTGTTCTTCCCCAAAACATTCGAGGTGCTGATCGACGAAAAAATGCTGCAGAAGGAATTCTTTGAGAACTTTATTGATTTAACAGTAGGGATGTCTCTTCTGTTGAGCGATGATATAACAGAGGACAACTTGGTTCAAGCAGAAAAATTTCTTAACAGATTTTTTATTCAGTTCTGTCGGCTGTACGGTGAGAAGTATTGCGGCTTCAACTTCCACCTAATCACTCACTTGGTCGAAAAGGTGCGGTATCTTGGACCGCTTTGGGCTACGTCCCTCTTTATTCACGAGGGCTTTAACCAAACCCTATTAAAGTGCTATCGTCCAGGGACCTCAGGTCTTAAGCAAATGGCAGAAAAATTACAGCTGCGACTGACCGTGCTGCAACTTTTCTCCTTTGTTTCGGCCAAGAAGAAGGACAGTATAGCTTGCAAACTTGCCGAGCGAGTATGGTTTCCATTGGAGCAGCCTGAAATTGATGTTGAGACCAGCTCATTGTTTAAAAGTGTAACTTTGTCTGAGTGGAATGTATGTCAAGAAGTGAAAGTAAAGCTTACCACTCTCTACAATGCTGATATCAGCGATGAAGTAGTTATATACGACAGGGTTAAATACAAGAGAGACATTTTTACTACTGGTCGTTACTCAGGCGGTAAAAACTCTAAACAAATTGATCACTTCATTTATTGCAAGGACTCTTCCCAATTTGGTAGAATAGACGATATCATAGTGATAAATGACGAAACATTCATAACCTATGCTAGGCTTGTCGTTGACAACAATTACGATTTCAACATTTTTCCGACAAACATCAGGGATATCCCACATATTAAACGTTGTCGGGCGACATCAGAAATAAATGTTCTGAAACTTAGTAAAACTAACTTAATTTTAAAGAAATGTATTTGTCTTACCCTCAAAGACAACTCCATAATGCTTGGCTATATGCCATTTCCGTCGGAAGCCTCTTAATGGGACTAGCTTTTATTTGGAGTTAAGCAATGATTTAGCTTCGTGCAAATTGTGTTATTTTGGTCCAGTGAAATTTAAAGTGTTACATTTAAGAACAGAGAGCAACATTTCAGTAAGATTTATTTGCTACTTTCAATCATTGGTGATTGGTTTTTATCTTATCTAATAATCAAATGTTCCGGTACACTCTTTTGTACTTTTCCATAACGAAATTGGCGGGAATAATTTTGTTGGCGGGAAACAAGCGTTCTAGTTTCTTCTCTCGTCAAAAGAGCGGCAATTTGACGAGTTGATGAATCCAGATTTTTGGAACATTTTTGGAACATTTTTGGAACATGTCCCAAAATTGTCCCAAAAGTGTCCCATGCATTTATTTGCCCTAATAAGCTCTAAATAGTGCCAAAAATAATTGTAAATGATGGATATAGGTAAAAACTAGGCCTAAGAGCCATCAAAACTCAAATAACATTACCCAGGTTCATGGAATGAACGAAAATGAACAAAAATGAATATTGTCCTAAAAATTCTCAGAACGGTTTAAAATTGGTCGGAAAGTGTTTATATTGGTCCTGCGACCACTCAAACCAAGTTTGGGAATCACTGCATGTCTAGAACCGATGTTACCTATGTTCCAAAATGTTCCAATTTTGGGACAATAATCCTCCTGAGAATCCAGATTTTTGGAACATGGGCACATCGAAGTATTGGCTGTATTTAAGTGCTGGGAAGCCTCAATTCGGTTTCTAAGATGGATATAGGTAAAAACTAGGCCTAAGAGCCATCAAAACTCAAATAACATTACCCAGGTTCATGTAATGAACGAAAATGAACAAAAATGAATATTGTCCTAAAAATGCTCAGAACGGTTTAAAATTGGTCGGAAAGTGTTTATATTGGTCCTGGACCACTCAAACCAAGTTTGGGAATCACTGCATGTCTAGAACCGATGTTACCTATGTTCCAAAATGTTCCAATTTTGGGACAATAATCCTCCTGAGAATCCAGATTTTTGGAACATGGGCACATCGAAGTATTGGCTGTATTTAAGTGCTGGGAAGCCTCAATTCGGTTTTCTAAGATGGATATAGGTAAAAACTAGGCCTAAGAGCCATCAAAACTCAAATAACATTACCCAGGTTCATGGAATGAACGAAAATGAACAAAAATGAATATTGTCCTAAAAATGCTCAGAACGGTTTAAAATTGGTCGGAAAGTGTTTATATTGGTCCTGCGACCACTCAAACCAAGTTTGGGAATCACTGCATGTCTAGAACCGATGTTACCTATGTTCCAAAATGTTCCAATTTTGGGACAATAATCCTCCTGAGAATCCAGATTTTTGGAACATGGGCACATCGAAGTATTGGCTGTATTTAAGTGCTGGGAAGCCTCAATTCGGTTTCTAAGATGGATATAGGTAAAAACTAGGCCTAAGAGCCATCAAAACTCAAATAATATTACCCAGGTTCATGTAATGAACGAAAATGAACAAAAATGAATATTGTCCTAAAAATGCTCAGAACGGTTTAAAATTGGTCGGAAAGTGTTTATATTGGTCCTATGACCACTCAAACCAAGTTTGGGAATCACTGCATGTCTAGAACCGATGTTACCTATGTTCCAAAATGTTCCAATTTTGGGACAATAATCCTCCTGAGAATCCAGATTTTTGGAACATGGGCACATCGAAGTATTGGCTGTATTTAAGTGCTGGGAAGCCTCAATTCGGTTTCTAAGATGGATATAGGTAAAAACTAGGCCTAAGAGCCATCAAAACTCAAATAACATTACCCAGGTTCATGGAATGAACGAAAATGAACAAAAATGAATATTGTCCTAAAAATGCTCAGAACGGTTTAAAATTGGTCGGAAAGTGTTTATATTGGTCCTATGACCACTCAAACCAAGTTTGGGAATCACTGCATGTCTAGAACCGATGTTACCTATGTTCCAAAATGTTCCAATTTTGGGACAATAATCCTCCTGAGAATCCAGATTTTTGGAACATGGGCACATCGAAGTATTGGCTGTATTTAAGTGCTGGGAAGCCTCAATTCGGTTTTCTAAGATGGATATAGGTAAAAACTAGGCCTAAGAGCCATCAAAACTCAAATAACATTACCCAGGTTCATGTAATGAACGAAAATGAACAAAAATGAATATTGTCCTAAAAATGCTCAGAACGGTTTAAAATTGGTCGGAAAGTGTTTATATTGGTCCTATGACCACTCAAACCAAGTTTGGGAATCACTGCATGTCTAGAACCGATGTTACCTATGTTCCAAAATGTTCCAATTTTGGGACAATATAATAATCCTCCTGAGAATCCAGATTTTTGGAACATGGGCACATCGAAGTATTGGCTGTATTTAAGTGCTGGGAAGCCTCAATTCGGTATCTAAGATGAATATAGGTAAAGACTAGGCCTAAGAGCCATCAAAACTCAAATAACATTACCCAGGTTCATGGAATGAACGAAAATGAACAAAAATGAATATTGTCCTAAAAATGCTCAGAACGGTTTAAAATTGGTCGGAAAGTGTTTATATTGGTCCTATGACCACTCAAACCAAGTTTGGGAATCACTGCATGTCTAGAACCGATGTGACCTATGTTCCAAAATGTTCCAATTTTGGGACAATAATCCTCCTGAGAATCCAGATTTTTGGAACATGGGCACATCGAAGTATTGGCTGTATTTAAGTGCTGGGAAGCCTCAATTCGGTTTTCTAGGATGGATATAGGTAAAAACTAGGCCTAAGAGCCATCAAAACTCAAATAACATTACACAGGTTCATGTAATGAACGAAAATGAACAAAAATGAATATTGTCCTAAAAATGCTCAGAACGGTTTAAAATTGGTCGGAAAGTGTTTATATTGGTCCTATGACCACTCAAACCAAGTTTGGGAATCACTGCATGTCTAGAACCGATGTTACCTATGTTCCAAAATGTTCCAATTTTGGGACAATAATCCTCCTGAGAATCCAGATTTTTGGAACATGGGCACATCGAAGTATTGGCTGTATTTAAGTGCTGGGAAGCCTCAATTCGGTTTTCTAAGATGGATATAGGTAAAAACTAGGCCTAAGAGCCATCAAAACTCAAATAACATTACCCAGGTTCATGGAATGAACGAAAATGAACAAAAATGAATATTGTCCTAAAAATGCTCAGAACGGTTTAAAATTGGTCGGAAAGTGTTTATATTGGTCCTAGGACCACCCAAAGCAAGTTTGGGAATCACTGCATGTCTAGAACCGATGTTACCAATGTTCCAAAATGTTCCAATTTTGGGACAATAATCCTCCTGAGAATCCAGATTTTTGGAACATGGGCACATCGAAGTATTGGCTGTATTTAAGTGCTGGGAAGCCTCAATTCGGTTTTCTAAGATGGATATAGGTAAAAACTAAGCCTATGAGCCATCAAAACTCAAATAACATTACCCAGGTTCATGGAATGAACGAAAATGAACAAAAAATGAATATTGTCCTAAAAATGCTCAGAACGGTTTAAAATTGGTCGGAAAGTTTGGGAATCATGTCTAGACCCGATGTTACCAATGTTGTCACAATAATCCTCCTGAGCATCCAGATTTTTGGAACATGGGGACATCGAAGTGCTGGGAAGCCTCAATTCGGTTTTCTAAGATGGATATAAAAAAACTAGGCCTTATAGAGGAGCCATCAAAAGTCGAATAATATTACCCAAGTTTATGGAATGAACAACGAACATGAAAATTTTCCTCAAAGCACTCAGAATGGTTAAAAAATGGTGGCAAAGAGTCAATATTTTCGTCCAACAGGGTCTTAAAGTTGCATTCAGAATTATGTACAATTAAACAGAAATTATTTTATTGGGCAAATATTTTTGTTTTAATAATCCTCCAATATTTTGATATAAATGCTTCCCAGCACTTAAATACAGCCAATACTTCGATGTGCCCATGTTCCAAAAATCTGGATTCTCAGGAGGATTATTGTCCCAAAATTGGAACATTTTGGAACATAGGTAACATCGGTTCTAGACATGCAGTGATTCCCAAACTTGGTTTGAGTGGTCGCAGGACCAATATAAACACTTTCCGACCAATTTTAAACCGTTCTGAGCATTTTTAGGACAATATTCATTTTTGTTCATTTTCGTTCATTCCATGAACCTGGGTAATGTTATTTGAGTTTTGATGGCTCTTAGGCCTAGTTTTTACCTATATCCATCTTAGAAAACCGAATTGAGGCTTCCCAGCACTTAAATACAGCCAATACTTCGATGTGCCCATGTTCCAAAAATCTGGATTCTCAGGAGGATTATTGTCCCAAAATTGGAACATTTTGGAACATAGGTAACATCGGTTCTAGACATGCAGTGATTCCCAAACTTGGTTTGAGTGGTCGCAGGACCAATATAAACACTTTCCGACCAATTTTAAACCGTTCTGAGCATTTTTAGGACAATATTCATTTTTGTTCATTTTCGTTCATTACATGAACCTGGGTAATGTTATTTGAGTTTTGATGGCTCTTAGGCCTAGTTTTTACCTATATCCATCTTAGAAAACCGAATTGAGGCTTCCCAGCACTTAAATACAGCCAATACTTCGATGTGCCCATGTTCCAAAAATCTGGATTCTCAGGAGGATTATTGTCCCAAAATTGGAACATTTTGGAACATAGGTAACATCGGTTCTAGACATGCAGTGATTCCCAAACTTGGTTTGAGTGGTCGCAGGACCAATATAAACACTTTCCGACCAATTTTAAACCGTTCTGAGCATTTTTAGGACAATATTCATTTTTGTTCATTTTCGTTCATTACATGAACCTGGGTAATGTTATTTGAGTTTTGATGGCTCTTAGGCCTAGTTTTTACCTATATCCATCTTAGAAAACCGAATTGAGGCTTCCCAGCACTTAAATACAGCCAATACTTCGATGTGCCCATGTTCCAAAAATCTGGATTCTCAGGAGGATTATTGTCCCAAAATTGGAACATTTTGGAACATAGGTAACATCGGTTCTAGACATGCAGTGATTCCCAAACTTGGTTTGAGTGGTCGCAGGACCAATATAAACACTTTCCGACCAATTTTAAACCGTTCTGAGCATTTTTAGGACAATATTCATTTTTGTTCATTTTCGTTCATTACATGAACCTGGGTAATGTTATTTGAGTTTTGATGGCTCTTAGGCCTAGTTTTTACCTATATCCATCTTAGAAAACCGAATTGAGGCTTCCCAGCACTTAAATACAGCCAATACT